ATGTGGAGTTTAAAAAATCAGGCTGAGGGGCTGGAGCGATAGCACAGTGGGGAGGGCGTTTGCCTTGCACGCGGCCGACCCGGGTTCCATTCCCAGCATCCCATTGGGTTCCTCCCAGCACTGCCAGGAGTAATTCCTGAGTGCAGAGCCAGGAGGAACCCCTGAGCATCGCCGCGTGTGACCCAAAAAGCAAAAAAAATAATAATAAATAAAATAAAAATCAGGCTGATGTGAGCTGGTCTTTGCCTGCCGCCGGCCTGGGGCCTGGCCCGCATCTGGAGAAAGCTGCCTTCCTGAGGCCCTTGTCCCAGTTGTCTGCCTTCATGGGCAAGCCACCCCCTTCTGAATGCCACTGTGTCTGCACCCTGGCTGCCAGCCGGGACTCCTGGGGCCCGGAGCCTGTGTCCCCTCTGTGGGAGAGTGACTGGGAGGGATGCTGGTGTCAGGGAGCCGGCTAACCCAGGACGGTGCTGTCCCCCCACAACGGGAGCCAACTCCACATTCCCCGAGTCAGCAGAGATGGTGCGTCAGATCTCACCAAGTCACCGCTCAGCCTCCCCTCCGGGGATTCAAGACTTTCTGTGCGTGTGTGTGCGTGTGCGTGTGTGTGTGCGCAAGCGTGCGTTAAAAAAAGGGAAAAGGCAGCCCTGCCTTGTTCCCAGGCTCCAAGATGCTCAAGGACAGCGTGTACCTGCCCGCTCTTCCGAGCACAGTGCGCGGTGGTACTTCAGGAAAGGGCTGGGGTCAGCGTCTCGGGTGGCTCCTGCCGCACCCCAGATCTCAGGCACCCCCAAAAGCTGGCCTTCTTCACCCGGCTGCCAGCTTCTGAAGGCCCGGGTCTTAAGAGCTTTGCCTGGCTGGAAGGCTCCAGGGTGGGATGCCACCTTTTCACGGGTTCCGGCAGGCTGCCTAGAGGGTGTCCATTCCCAGTGGGCCAGCGCCTTCCCAGAGCACCCACAGTGCCAGGCCCAATGCCTGGACTCCCTCCTGTCCACCCCGCCCCCAATGCCTGGAAAGCCCATCTCTGCAGGGAGAGCCCGGGGTCCCTGCAGGCTGGATTCTGCCATGGAGGGCACCAAGTCTCACGTGGCTCCACATTTCTCCAGGTATGGCCTTGGAGCTGGGGGTGAAAGGCAGGTCTTGGAGTTGGGGGTGGAAGACAGTTCTGGTCTTGGAGTCAGGGTGGACGGTAGGTCTCTTCTGCCGGATCATTGACTCCGTGCCTGTGGATAATAATGGATAAAGGATTATGCTTTGTGGGTCACACCCAGCGATGCTCAGGGGTTACTCCTGTTTCTGCACTCAGGAATCACCCCTGGAGGTGCTCAGGGGACCCTATGGGATGCTGGGAATCGAACCCGGGTCGCCACGTGCAAGGCAGACGCCCTCCCCGCTGTGCTGCTGTGCTAGCGCCAGCCCCGCTCACAGCCCCCGGGTAATGGGTCAGGAATGGCTGGTCGGTTTTTGCTGGGAGGGAGGAGGAAGGAGGCCTCCTGGCTTAACTGCCTTCCTGAGGCCCTTGTCCCAGCTGTCTGCTTTCATGGACGAGCTGCCCCCTTCCCCCCTCAGGGTATGCTCCTGGGCGAGACTGCTGCAGATGACCAGGCCAGAGCTCCCCGCATCCCCCCCCCCCCCCCGCACCCATGACCTCTCATTGGAACACACTTTACCCAAGAGACATGAACTTTGACGGCACGCTTTCCTGATCTGTACATGGGGTGGGGGTGGGGGGGGAATGGAGACCGTATCCATCCGTATCCATTTCCTCCCGTGTTGTGAAGAGTTACTGGCTTCTAGGCGCAGAGCTTGGGTCTGGGACGCTGTAGAATCTGGCTTGCGAGGCTGGAGCGCTAGCACAGCGGGTAGGGCATTTGCAATCGACCCGGGTTCGATTCCCAGCCATAGGGTCCCCCGTGCACCACCAGGAGTCATTCCTGAGTGCAGAGCCAGGAGGAACCCCTGTGTATCTCTGGATGTGACCCAAAAAAAGAAAAAGAAAAAGGAATCTGGCTTCCATTTCTCTTTCTCATGCGTACTAAACCGGAGGCCCTGACTCATGTGACGTTTTCTTAATGGACTGGCAAGGGGACCCGCTTGGCACGTGTGACCAGCAGGGAACAACAGAACTTACACCAAATGTGATGGGGCTGAGGTGCCAGGGAAGGAGTTTGGGGCACGAATCTGTGTGTGATCTGGGAGGGATGTGGAACCGTCCCAGGGAGATGAGAACGATTGGGAAAGGTGCAGAGGGGCCGGAGAGATAGAGGTACATGTGTGTGCCTTGCACGCGGACGTCTTGGGTTCAATCCTGGGCATCCCATATGGTCCCCCAAGCCAGGAGCAAATCCTGAGGACCACCGGGTGTGACCCACCTCCCTTCCCCCCAAAAAAGTGAATCAGTAGAGAAGCCCTTGAAAGGCCATGTTGACACCTGAGTCAGGTAATAACAACCTCGGTATTTTTTTCTTGGGGAGGGGCTCCCAAACTTTGGAAGCCTGGGTTCGGGGTAGGGGTTCTTGGCCAGTCAGCCCCACGGTTCCATGCAGGGGCCTAAGAATATGGTGCTAGGTACCGGCTCAGGCCCTGGAGTGCCAGTGACAACCTGTGCTACCTGGTGGACTGGGGGTGTCCAGGGCCACCCCTTCTGGTGCTCCGGGACCAGGGGGTGCTGGGGATGGCACTGGGGCCCCGTGGATGCTGGGACCCCTGCCCTGCTCGGTCCAGCCGGTGCTCCACCTCAGTGTTTATGGCCCTGAGGCTCTCAGCTGGTTCTCACCCAGCCTCTGCGGGGGCGGGGCTCTGATCGCCCCTCACAGCCCAGAGCAGGGGAGCAGAGCTCAGAGTCGATCACACCTGTACATGGAGCTGGAGGGAAGCCCTTGCTTCCTTCCTCCAGGCTGCCTCCTCACGGGATCCTGAGACACATCAAACGTGTGACGTCACAAGTGACGTCAGAGAGCGAGGGTGACGCCGGAGAGCGAGGGTGACGTCGCAGCTAGAACCCACGGGGCTGAAGACGATGCCCTGTGGGAAGTCGCTGACTGAGGGGGGCTCACCCCTGAGCCCCACCACCTGTAGGAGAACAAGTGACATTGAGTCTCATGGGATGGGGGGCTTCCGGCTGAGCAGCGGGCCTTTCGGCATACATAGTAGGGCCCCTGATATTCAGGCTTTGGGGCCACACCCAGCGGTACTCAGGGGACCATATGTGGGGGGGTCGAACCCCGGTGGACTGCATGTAAGCAAGTGCCTTACACGCACTGCCACCTCCCCCTTGCAGGTTCCTTTCAAGAAGGGGGCAGGGGCCTCTCATCATCTCAGCATTCTAGGCTGCAGGCAAGGGGGGTACTTGCGCTGGAGGTCTCTGCTTCTGCGGGGGGCCTGGGGCGGCCGCGCCGCATCCCGTGGGAGCGCGAACGCCTGCTGGGGTGCGGGGAGGACGGGCTTCTCCCGGGCCCCTCGCGCGCCCCCCGGAGGCCCCGTTCCGCGCTGGAGGCCGGAGCGCAGCTGCGGACCCCGCGCGTGGTGCCTTGCCGCGGGGCGCAGGGGCTCCTCACCCCCCAAGTCTCCCGCTCGACTCAGCCCACCGCCGCGGCCCCGGGGGCGTCCGTGCGGACTCGGACACGCGCCCCGGACCGCAGGGACAGCGTCAGGACTGGGATGGGGGGGGGGGGGGTTGCTCCAGGCTCGGGCCAGTTCTTGGCGCTGTCCGAGCGGCCCCTTCGGTGTCCTTCTCCCGGGGGAGGGCCCCTCGGTGTGTGTCCCCGGGTAACTCCGACGTCGCCCTGGCCATAGGCGAGGGCCTGGGGCCACCCGGACCGGGTCCCCTGCTCCAGCCGGCCGGGCGCGCGGGGGCGGGGGCTGGCGCAGCTGCAGGAGCCGCGCGTGCGCGCAGGGGGCGGGGAGGGCGCGCGCGCCGCGGAGGGCCCCCCCGGCAACGTTCCCACACCTCGCGCCTCCCCTGCGGCCCCTTCTCCCCGCGCCCCGGAGCCAGAGCCACGTGTGCAAACGCCGGGTGTGTGTGTCTGCGTGTGTGTGTGTGTGTGTGTGCGCGCGCGCGTGTCTGTGTGTCTCTGTGTGGGTGTGCACGCCAGTGCGCGCGCGCGCGGCTGGGGGGCCGCGCACCCCGAGTCGGGGACAAGCCCCCCGTGTCCACAGGGCGCGGCGGGCAGCTCCGTAGCGGCTGGGCTGCTTTCCCGCTCCGGCCAGCCCTTCCCAAACCTCTCTCCTCTAGCTCGCTCCCTGGGGTCGGCGTTTCCTCCAAGCCCGGCCCGTTGGCGGGGTCGCGGCTCCCAGGGCTTTCTTTGCCCCCCCACCCCCCCACCCCACCCCCAGCTCCGGAGCCCTTGACATTTAGCGCGGCTTCGCGGGGCACTCGTACCGGCACCCAGCAGAACGCTAATCCGATTCAAGATCTGGTGTCATTGGGGAAGGGGGAGGCTGCGCCCCCCGCAGACCCGGCCCTCATTGGTCGGATGCAAAGCAGGAGGCGGGCCCGGGGTGCGGCAGGGGGGCTCCGGGAGACCTCAGAGTCGCGAGTCGGGGCTGGGATTTCGCAGGGAAAGCCCGGCGCTTGCTTGCAGCGGCCGATCCCTCGGCACCGCCGGGGCCGCCGGGGCGGACGGGCCGCTCCGCAAAGTCCTTCGCGGGCCGAGAGGAGGCGACGCGCCCGGCCAAGTGCCCGGCGCCTCGCGTGGAGCGGCCGGTGCACCCCCGTAGTGGAGGGTGCTGGTGCTGGTACTGGTGCTGGTGGGAGCAGTGCACGCTCGAACGCGAGACATCAGATCGCAGCTCCCCGCGCCCCCCGCCCCCGGAGACGCTCAGTTCCGCGGCCCAAGCCCGTCCGAGAGCGCACGGAACCGCCGCGCCGCAGAGGCGCCGTCCGAGCGGCGGTTGCAGCGGCGGCTTTGGGCAGCAGCAGCCCCGGGAGCCCCGGGAGCCCCGGGCGCGGCGCCTGGGGGGCGCGCGCAAGGCTCTGCCCCCCCGCCGGGCAGCCCCTCGGACCCCCGCCGGGAGCGATGCCCCCCGCCCCTCGCGCGCCCCGGCGACGAGGCGAGCATGGAGAAGTCGAGTAGCGAGGATTCTTCGATCCACCGGAGTCCATCTTTGGACAGCAAGGACTCGGACTTCGCCAAGCCGTCCACCTCGGGCCGCCCGTTCGGCCGCGGCTTCACGGCCGGCGCCTTCTACGGCACGGCGGGCGCCCGGGGCCCCGGCCGGGCCGAGGCGAGCGTCAAGACGGACAAGTACCATGCGCCCCGCGGCAGCAAGTACGTGGTGTTTTACCTGGACCTGTCCTTTGTTTTCCTCCTAGAATTTAAGAAGTGCAACATGGCCAGGGGCTGCCTGTGCTGCGTGAAGTACATGATGTTCCTCTTCAATCTGATATTCTGGGTAAGTCCCCGCGGCGAGGCGCGCCTCCCGTGGCCTCTTCCTCGCCCCCCGAGCGCGCCGAGCCGATCCCTGGCTCCCTCCTCTCCCTGGCGCAGCGGCGGCGGCGGCGGCGGCAGCATCGCCCGGGCGCGCAGTGCAATGCTCAGCCGCCCCTCTCCGGAGGGGGCTCCAACTTGCCCGTCTTCCCGGAGACTCGCGCTACCCCACCCCGCAGGCTGGCAAAGTTTGCCTCCGCACCCCGCCCCCCACCCCAGGCTGGCACAGCCTCCCGCGGCGGGGGGCATCCTGCTGAAAACGGCGCGGGAACCGCATTCTTAAGGGCTGTCACCTGAGTTGCAGACAGCGGGCGCGGGGATGGTTTGCTGACTTGCGTCCCTTACTCCTCGGGAATGCTCGAGAAGACCGTTCTGCAGCCTTTTTAAAAAAATTTTTTTTTTTTAGGGGAGGGAGATGGGGCCCCGGTGGAGGTCACACCCCTCCCCCCTCCTTTCCTTCAGTGAATTCCGGGGAAAGGAGGGGGAGCGCCCGGCCCGAGCAGAGATACCGTGCCCCTCTCTCCGTGGACTGCACCCCACACCCTCCGCTGCCGCACCCTAACTGCCTCTAGAGTTAGGGCTTGTGCGGGAAGCAAGGGTGAGGGGTTGCGGGCAGCTGCCTTTGGGGGATTGCCGTGCCCTGGAGACGGAACAGGCTGCCTGTGACAAAGGGAGACAGTGGGGGCCTGCGCCCCCATCCCTTTGCTTCCTGAGGGATGATATTCCAGAGAAGGTGGCAGGGGGTGGGGCAGCATGATTTTTTTTTCCCCCTCTGATTCTGGAGACTGTGTCTCTCGTGCAGTAAGAGATCCTGGTAAGGCCGATCTCAAAAACTTCTTCAATTCCTAATTGTTCCCGCATCCCGACTGCTGCCTCCGTCCGCCTTGTCTTTCCCAGAGTTGGGACTGCCGAACACAGATGTTTGGCTCTGCCCCAGGCTGGTCCTTCTGCCTGGCCAGGTGCCGGTCAGCTGCCCCTGATCCGGCCCGGAGGAGTCCCAGGGAGCAGGAGAGAGTCATTCAGCCCGATTCTGGGGAGAAGCAGTGGCCGCTTTGCTCTTCAGTGGAGTGACCCACTTTAGTGGAACAACGTGTGTGTGTGTGTGTGTACACATGTGCATGCCTGCATGTCCACAGGCACCCAGGCTTCCTAGAGAGGGGCACGCTCGCTGAGGTCTAAGCCGCTGTCCAGATGGGCTCTGGGTTTGTTTCTCTTGTGACCTTGGGGAAACCACTTTCTCCTAAAGACTTCCCATACTGTACAATGTGTGTGTGTATGTGGAGGCGGAGTGGGGGTGCTGGGGTGGTCCCCCCAAAGCCTTCACCCCGTTAGTACCCCCTGCACCCTTGCCTTCTCTGAGAAGGGAACCTTCTGCTCAGCCCTGGGGCATGGACCCCCCCCCCCCCCAGCCTTGTGTGGATCCTTAGTTGTTGGGTTGTGCTGTGGGTCTGACTCTCAGGTCTCTGCTTCGGCACTTTCCTGCCCTGTGCTGAGGTTCTGTGGTTGCCGGGCCGCACCCCTGGAATGTCCATGTGGCCACGTAAAGGGCAGCTGCTCCAGTCCCGCCTGCTTGCCCAGCAATGTCCACTGGCAGGTGCCCCCGAGAGCTGCAGGAAACACCACCCTTCATTGTGTGCCGCTTTTCTCTCGAAGTCCACCCCCTCCCCCGACCGCCTTTCTGCGCGCTCCTTCCTGCTGACACTGGCTGCAAAGACCCACCTGGTCTTCCCGGGCTGCTCCTGCCCCGGGCCTCTACTTCCCCCACCCGTGCTCGCTCCTCCCCGCCCCAGCTCGCCACCTGCTGGCCTGAGCAGGTATAGCGGCTTGTGACTCCTCCAGGACTGACCCCCAACACCCCAGTGGGGAGCGTCCCCCTTGGCCCCAGGCTCCTGGCAGAATGTTCTGGGCCCGCTCCTCATATGAGTTCGTGAGCGAATAAGTGGGAGGAGGGCCGGAGCAGGAAAACCGTGTGAGTTCTCCAGTTTGCCCTCTGGTACCTTAGCCGGGGGCGGTGTGTGTGTGTGTGTGTGTGTGTGTGTGTGTGTGTGTGTGTGTGTGTGAGACAAGTGGCGCTTTCCACCGCTTGGCAGAGGGGAATGAGCTTGCCCTGTGGCTCATGCTTGCGAGGAGATCTTTGCTGTGGCTTCAGGATGAAGCGATCCCCGTGGCCACGCTCCGACCAGGCCGAGTCACTCGGGCGAGCCCTCTGTTCACGGAACTTTATATTTCCAGAACCGCTGTCAGCTACCGAATGTAGCCTGCCCACAGGGCAGAGTCTGACAAACTCCCCGCGGCGTACCCAATATGCCAAATACCAGTAACAATGATGGGTCTCATTCTCCTAAAGAGCCTTGAATATAATCTCAGGGTTAGGATGAAGGAGACGTTACTGGGGCCTGCTTGAGGCAATCGACGATTAACAGGATGATTTGTGATTGTGATTTGTGTCAGCAGCCCGGTCTGTGCCAGTGGCTTAGGAGTGACCTTAGGCAACGGGGAAGAAAGGGAGCCTGAGAAACCCATTCGGCCGCTTTTGGGGAGGGGTGGGAGGAGGGGGTGCTCCCTGCTTCCACCAAGTGAAGGTTTAGAAGGTGGGGGGGGGCAGGAGCAAAGGAGCAGAGCCACTAAGGCTCCGGGCCCAGGGCGGGGGGTTGGTTGGTTAACGAGGCAGCAGCCCCATCCCTCTGGATTCCTGGCTGCTGGTCAGTGCCCACCACCGAGGCAGCAGCCCCATCCCTCTGGATTCCTGGCTGCTGGTCAGTGCCCACCACCGGGGCGGGGGAGAGACTGGAGGTGTGGAGGGGCGGGGGCGGGCTGGAATGCAGGGCTGATCGCTGGCTGAGCCCCCCTGGGACCAGAGCAATTGTCAGGAATGATGAAGCCAGCACCTTGGCTAGCCTGCTGGCTCCGATCCCGAAAGGAGGCAATCGAGCACATCTAGCGCGTCTCCCAGGCCCGGAGGGAGCCGGCTGCCGCCGCCACACCCCCTGCCTTCAGCTGTCCTGCACCGCAACCCTCCCCAGGCCCGCGTCTGCTGGGTTCTGGCCACTGGGTGGAGCTTCTGGGCCGGTTGGTGCTGGGAGCGCCGATGACATCACCGGGGGCGGGCAGGGGCGGGGCTATGAGGTCACGCCCCCTTGCCGGAAAGGGGCGGGGCCTCCCAGGCTGCTGGGGGTGCGGACAGGTCAGCCCGGGCTGCTGGCCTTGCAGGCCCCCAGGCCACACTGCTGAGAGCTCGGGTCCAGATGGTAGGGGGCAGAAGGGCGGCGTGGAGGTCACGGCTGACCCAGGCTCGCCTCTTTTTCCCCATGCATCTGCCCACTCCAAGCAGGATAGATCTGCTTCCCCATTTTCCCGGGGTGTGTGTGTGTGTTGGGGGGGGTGTGGTCCACCGGAATCACAGCCCAGAGAAGTGCCCGCCCGCAGCCCCCCTGCAGACAGGTGCACATGGGGGCGATCTATGTCCTTCCCGGGGGCAAAGGAGACTCAGAGCAGAGGGCCAGGGGAGCAAATCCAGCCCAGCACCTCCCGGCTGAAGTCAGGTTCCTGGGCATGATGTGCAAGAGTGTGAGGGCGCCGAGGCTCGGGCTGGGGGGTGGGGTGTGACCGCCTGGCAGGATCGCGGTCATCTCATGCATGGAGACCCTTCAGCCGGGGCTGCCCCAGGGCAGCTCGCTGGCCCGGGCAGGATCCTGGACTTGGTGTACTGCTCCCTGGTCCAGCCCCGTCAGCCCGGCAGCCACGCTGGGGTGAAAGTGGGGGACAGGGTCAGCCCCCTAGAGTGAGGCGGAGACTTTCTCACAGTTTCCTTGGCCCCAGGGGTCAGGTCTGCGAGCGACATTGGGGTGCATTCTTGACCCTGGTGGGGTCACACCATTTGCAAGTGCCCTGGTTGGCGGGGCCCTATGGTTCCCCTCCAGGCCCGAGGTGCCAAGGGCTGGGCTCTGTGGATGGTCAGTACTGGATAGCCCAGAGTGTCCTGTGGCTTCTACCTGTGGTCAGGGACTTGTGTTCAGGCCTGACCTCTCCATGCGGGAGAGAGGTGGGGGGGCCAGGAGGCATTTAGAGGTGGCAGGCAGGCGGGCTTCTCCCCAGAGGCCTGTGCTCTCTTGGCCTTTGCGGCCAGGGGCTGACCCAGCCTCAGCCCCACTGGAGGAAAGGGGGTCCCAAAAAGGGCCTGGCCGGGGCTCCCGACACCGCGGGCTGGCCCTGAGGCCGTGCCGGCTCCGCGTTCACTTCCTTTCCAGAGCATTAAAAATTAAACATCCTTGTCTTAATATCTATTTTTAAATCATGTCAGAGCCGGCACTGGTGTCAGTCAGGAGGGGGCGGGGAGGATGGGAAGGGGGGAAGAGGATCTCCCAGGCGAGGATGCAGTCTTTCTCGAGAAGGGGCCTCCGCGGGTCAGCACCCTGTTCCAAAGCCCAGCCCAGAAGAGACCAAAGGCCCCCCTCCCCCTGGGGGAGGCGGGGAGGGGGCACCCTGCCCAGGCTGAACTTGGCAGCAGGCTCTGGGGCTTACCGGGCTGTCGGGGTCCCAGTTGAGTCCCTTCACTCATGCCACAACTATTCCCTGAATGCCCGCTGCGTGCAGAAGGGCCGGCAGTTGGTGAGCAGGGCTGACAGCGCCGAACGGAGCAGATCAGTTTTCTCGGGGCAGGAAGTCGTGGAAATCGACAGGTCATCTGCTGGGCCTGCCAGTGTCTGAGCAAGGGGTGGCCGAGGGAGAGCTGGGGGGAGGAGGGCCAGCCCTCCCTCCCCAGTCCCCCAGCCTTAGCAGCTGGACAGGCCTGCCCTGGCCTTTTCAACCCCAGACTCTGCACCTACCCACCCCCAGCATACCTGAACTTGAACAAAAACAGCCCAATGAGGTGTTGTTTTGGGGGGAGGGGGAGATGAGGGCCTCTTTTTAGGAGTTTCTTTGTTTGGTTGGGGAAAAGAATTTGTGAGCCCTAGGTCCTTGGGG